CAAGAATACTGGAGTGGGTAGCTGATCCCTTCTCCAGCGATCTTCCCGACCCAGGAATTGAACTGGGGTCTCTGGCATTGCAGGCAGATTCTTTACCAGCTGAGCTACCAGGGAAGCCCATTTATACAGAGATGTCTGCATAGTCTAATTAAGTTCTCCTGACATTAAAATCACAGGAAAACATGAGTTGCAATAGTGTAAACTGTTTAAGTAAAAGAGACAAGGAAGAAAGAATATTACAATATGAATATATTGTTCAGGTAAGTTAAAATAATTTTATCCAACTAGGCCTGGTTCTGTCTGCCCTAAACCAAGTCATATTGTTTATTTTACAACTTGGGTTAGTAAGACCATGATTACCATTTAGGGGAACAGAATTCTCTTCTGTGAAAATTATTTGCTGGCTCATTTATCATCACTGCCACCAAATATAAAAATTATCTTCAATCACAGTCTTGATTTGTATGACTCTTAAGAATTAGCCCTAAGAAAAATGGGTGGTACTGGTACAGAGATCAGGCTTCTTATTTATTGACTCAAATCCAGGTCTTCTGGCTGCTAAACTCACATTCTTTCCACGATGCTTTACTAGCTCTTTCTCAATAGTAACTTAAATGTAAAGCAAACTTTCAGAGTTTGCAAAGATCTACTATCTCATTTAACCTTGGTAATAATCCTAGGAAGTTGAGGCAGGCATAGTTTCTCTAATACTTAGGACACTGGGTACCCACACATCAAACAACTTGCCCAAAGAAGATGGATCGAATGCCAGGCAATACTGCAAGACACAAATAACTACTAAAAAACTTTATTGTGTACAACTGATGTATGTGACCTTTAGAGTAAGCCTATCCTCAAATGAGTGTAATTCATCTGCTGCTGTTACATTCTAGAGATGGTAAATACCAGATATCTGCACTGTCTCTCTTCTTTTCCCACAATCCTTCAGCACACTCTTTCTTGCTAGGCCTGAACCCAGCCTCCAAAGCATTTTGAACACATAGTTCCAGGCAACCCCAATCAACCAACACAGATAAAATCTGCATTCCTGTTCTCTCCATTAAGGCCCACTTGTATAATACCTGTTTTTGACATTTTGTCTTTGCTTTTGCTTGGATATTTGCTTTCATGGCTCTACCAGAATTGTATATATTATCTTTTCCAGGTCCTGGAAATCTGCCTTATTTTGATCTCAGAGCACCAGCTGCAAAGATTCATATACAGCAGGCACACAAGGTGACAAATACATGGTACTTAGGAAAAAATCTTGGAGAAGGAAATGGCAACCCACTCCAGTGCTCTTGCCTAGAGAATCCCGTGGACAGAGGAGCTTGGTGGGCTGCTGCTGTCCATGGGGTCACACAGAGTCGGACACGACTGAAGCGACTTAGCATGCAGGCATGCTTTGGAGAAGGAAATGGGAACTCCCTCCAGTATTCTTGCCTGGAGAATCCCAGGGACAGAGGAGCTGGTGGGCTGCTGTCTATGGGGTCACACAGAGTTGGACATGACTGAAGCGACTTAGCAGCAGCAACAGGAAAAAATCTAAAGTTAACAACAAAAATACCTTCCCTTATTTCTAATTACCATTTAGAAAAGAGTCATAAATGTTCTCAGGAAAGAGATGGTAAAAACAAGTTTTGTGGGTCAGATGGTCTCTGATGCAACCACTAAACTCTGCCATTATGATGTAAAGCACCTATAGACAATATGTAAATGAATGAATGTGTCTAGATTCTAATAAAAATCTGAATTATTTAATTTTCACATCACGTATTATTCTTCTCCTGACTTTTTCCCCCAACAATTAAAAAAAAAATCTTAACTTGCAGGTCACAGAGAAACAGGGTGTAGGCTGGATTTGGCCAATGGGACCATACGTACTGACCCCTGGCCTAAATCCGTGGTTTTCAAAGTGAGAATTTCAGGTGGTCTGCAAGATCCTTTCAGCAAGTCCAACTACCTATGTGTGAAGCTGGACTTTCTTTGGTTCAACCAAAACACTTAAAAAAATTCAATCATCAATCAAAACAATGCACAACAGATCAAATGCATAAGCAAATATGAAGACCCAGCTGCATTCTATTAAGCCAGAAATTGAAAAGATTTGCAAAAATGTAAAATAAAGCCACTCTTCCCAATAATTTTTCTTTGTTTGGAAAATACCTAGTTATATGTCATAATGTTCTTTATATTAACATATAGTGGACTTATGATTGATTTTTTAAGTGGATTAATATTTTTTAAGTTCCTCAGTTTTGATTTCTATTTAGATGCCAACAGCTACAATCCATGAAAAGAAAAAAAGCTGTCTGGGGGCCCTAAATAAAAAATAATTTTTAAAAATATGCTGTTTATATATATACACACACACATATATAAACTGGCCACACCCCATGGCACGCAGGATCTTAGTTCCCTAACCAACCAGGGATGAAACCTCAATCCTCAGCACTGGAAGCACAGTCTTAAGCACTGGACCACCAGGGAAGTCCCTGGCCCTCAGTGAATTTAAGAATGTAAGGGGTTCTTGAGACCAGTCACTTTGAGAAGCAGCTGCTGAGCTGCAGCAGGACTGACTGCTGTAGGCAGAGTCGCCTTGAGAAATGAGGGCACCTTCTCAGGTCAGGGCACCAGACAGACCCGATTCCAGTCTCCTTCTTGATTTCCCCCTGCCTAGGAGCTTCCTTTATTTCTTTCATTAAATCCTTATTTGGTAAAATGTAATTCCATGCAATTTACACTCTTGTATAATAAAGCTGGTGAAAATGTGGAGTTATTTTCATTGAAGGAACTGTTTTACTATGTGCAGACCATAAAAATACTTTAGCCTTTGTCAAAATAGGTAACTAGATTCAAATCTCTCTTTCTGGCTTGTCTTTTCCAATCTTAAAAAAAAAAAAACCCACAAAATTACTATTGTAATTTCTTGCCTTCAGAACAGCTCTCAAACATATTCACCAGCTTCTTTATAAATCATAGTCTCTTTGACTTGGCTCCACAAAACTGTACAAGCCTGGTGCTAACCAGCATCCTCACTAGCGTTACATCTAAAGAAATGAAATCCAGGAAGCATGGCACCAGTTTAATTGATAGCCCTAATAATAATGCACTAAAAATCACATTTTTGCAAGTAAAGTATATACATCTTACAGAGTATCTTAAAAGAGTATTAATATTTTGCTTGTTCTACCATTTGATATTTTAAAACTTTTTAAAAGATTACTTTAGGAGACATAAAAGGAAAGTTCTCTTAATTCTAGTGTTACCATATGTAAGGAAACCCTATATAAGGAAATTTTCTTTTTGGGGGGAAGGGGGGGAGTTTTCTTAAATATAAATTTACTCTGTAGTAAGGTTTAACTGTCCAGACAAATGATGTATACTGCTGGCCTGGGGAAACCTCTCCCTCATTCTTCATTTTAGAGAGAATTAAAGAAATGATACTGTAATTCCAGTAATTATAATTCTGTTGAATACACACTATTAAGAAGGCACTTCCACATGAGTATATGATTCTAAAGATCTTTATAGTTTTCTCTTATAGAATAATAGCTTTGTAAACAATAACAAAGTGGGAAGAAATTTCTGTTTTTGAATATTTGTCCTTTAATCTGTATTATAAAATATCTAAAAAAAAAATCAAGAATTATGATCAGATGCTAAATCTGCCATAATTTGTGATTATTGTCTCCAAGAAGAAAAATAAAATACATTTGGTTCTTTTGACCAGAGCAAAAACTTCAATTCACTAGCATCTAGACCAGAAAGGCATTAACAAATTATTACCTATTTGGAGAATTGTTATCCATCTGGGGAAACAGTACAAATTAATTTAGAGAGATTTGGTAGCTGTGCTGTTCAATGAAGAACAACAACAACAAAACACATAGATTTGAAATGTGGGGAAAAATGCTTACTATTTAAATTTACAGTAAAAGCAAAAGTCTCATCATGATTGCAAAACATTCCAAATTGTGAAACTTAAGTTATTTGTAAAATAGACAAAAGTAAAGCTGCTTCCTCAGTTATTTTTTGAGATCTCAGCATCAATTTAAAGAAAATGCTTATATTTAAAAGAAGGCCTATTTAAAAATAGGAATCCTTCTGCTAAATACAAATATGAACATGAAGTAAATTTATCTTATATCATGCATTCCTGTCCCATGTATATGCAAATGAAAGTGATATGAAACCAAAGTTTAAGAAAAAAATTACTTGCTTCAATTCTCTAAGGAATAAAAGAGCCTCAAACCTAAAGAACAACAACTGATGCTAGTGTAAAAACTAAAATTACATAAAATTGGTATGTGGATTACATGGGGAAAAAAGGGAGGGAAAAAAGGACATGTACTTCACTGTATAAAAAACATATATTTCTGCCAATACTGTCTTCAAGATTTTTGGGGTATAACTAATAATTTTTCTACTCTCATTTTCAAATTAAAATTATGTGCATTAAAAACCTGAGTATAATAAAGTTTCCTAGGAAGGCAAAAAAGAAAAAAAAATGAAAATCACAGAATTTATACAACCACCAAGATAGAAGAGCTCAAGAGAATTTTGGTCTCATATTTGAGAAAACAGTGCTCCTACTACTCTAAAAATAGCAAAACTAGAATCAAGATACAGTTATTTTAAAGCTTGGCACAGCAGTTTAAAATTTGAAAAATGCCTTTGCTATTTTAATAAAATAGCTTTTAGTTTTATTTTCCCAAATTCTTCCCCAGCAGTTGGACAATAACAGTGTAACTTTCTCTACCTGCTGGGGAATTTTCTTAGCACTTTGTGGAAACCGTTGGCTTTCAGAAATGGACAGGCTGATCTGAACCAAAAGTTAGACAAAATACAGAATTGCAACAACAATAAAAAAGCGATTTAGAAAGAAGATCAAGCCAAGCAGATAAGCAAACTCTATAAAAATCAGTTTTCTCGGACTGTTCATCCAGTCAGTTCCCTAATTTAAAAAAGCCAAACCAAAGCAAAGCATGCTGACTTACATTGCTTCTTTAGTTCTTTCAGCTGTTGTTTAAATTGGACAAATTTTTCGTTATTTTGAAAGTCTGCATCGGAATTCTTATTCTGTAAAGCCAAAAACTTCTTCTCCACTAATAATTTTAGATCAGGTATTTTCTCTGAACGTTCTTCTTTTACCTGAGGAGGATGATAAAATTACTGTAGTTAAATGTTAACAATGACACAGTCTTGTAACAGTATTTTTCTCTCATTTTACTCAAATAAAAATACAGAGGTAGAAAACAGAATTTCCTTCAACAGAGAACCAGGGAGACAGGGCCCTGTTTCAGACACAGACTGCTAGTGAAGAGCAGAGAAACTCATTTACCCATCTACCCTTTGGCTTCTTACACTATCCCTTCATTGCCCTGCTGACTTGCCATGTCCAGACAACTACTGCGCAACTGTGTCCTCCACCTTCACCGGAACTCGCACATGACGGCGCCTTCTTTTTTAGGTCTGTGCGGTCCCCTCTCCTTCCTCTCGAGTCTGTCCTGCATTCTCTCTAGCACTCCTCTTCTCTGGTCCTTGGCCCCGGCAGGTGAGACTGACTCCTCCTTCACAAAATGAGTGGAGACTTTAACCTTGAACTTCCACCATCTGCAGTCACCAGGAGTAAGTGCCCCTATTCTGTTCAAGGCTAACCTCTCAATCTTTATTCTCTCCCCTTCCCAATATTTTATTATAAAATTTTCAAACGTGCAAAAATGTTGAAAGCATCATATTTTACCACTCAAAGTCGAAAGATTATCTGTAAGTCCTCTGCTTTGATTATCTTCTGCCATGGACAAAAGAATTAGATACTCTTCAATTGCTTAACTGCTATGCATGCCATGCATTAGACAAATCAAAAATGAAAATTAAGTATGAAATCAAAATACCTAAATCTATATGCAAAGTACAAGAGTATAGGAACTGACTGTCTTCTCATTGTACTGATGAAGCTCAACCAGTGCTGGATCCATCATCAGAGGTGTGAAAAACATGGCAAGGCTTTAGTGACAAGTTATATGTAATTAAACATTTAAAATAAGTCCTATAAGGATAAACAATAAAGCTCAGTTTGGAAACAAGGTACAAAGACAATCAATCGAATAATGACTAATATCACAAAAATAAGAGCACTTCTACCCAGTGACTAGCTAGTCTCCATCCCTACACTGGAGAGAACAAGATGAGACAAGTTCAAGGTTGTGGCAAGAAGAGGGCACAGAGCAGACACAGAAAATAAATGATGAGTTCTTAGAAAAGAACAAGGGGCTCCCTTTCTGGATTTATAAAATAAAAGCATACATGTGAAGGTCTTCTCAAGGTCTTTGGTTAGTATGAAATTATTATTTTATCTTCCATGATCAGAAAAGAGCTAATCTGAGCAGATATCAGTAAATGCAGTTTCCAACAAAGTCTCTAACCCACTCAACATACTTAATCTCCCCAGATCAAATACAACGACTGCTGAGGAGCTCGGTAGAAAAGTGTGGGGGCGGGGGATGGAGGCATTTTGGAGTGGACAATGCAGCAATTTGAAGTATGACTAGGAAAACCTGAATACATCAAATTTAGCGATTCAGAGTGCTTTCTTCCCCTGCAGCCAGAAGCTCCAGAGAACTGCAGTAAAGCACACAGTTTCACTGCAGCAAATACCTTCTCTGGAAACTTGATGCTGGAGTTGGCATAGCTATCCACTGCAAAGAGAACTTACTGTACTCCAGCTCTCAAACTGAGAGCCTGGAAAATATTAACTCGTTATCTGTTTAAATCAATGGAATAAATAGGGATTAATTCTATTTTTTAATGGTTTCTTGCATTGTTTGTATCCTCAAGATAAAGAGATACAGAATCCCAAATGAGGAAAGAAAAAAGCCATTCTTTGAGTTGTTAGTTGATCATAGTTACCTAGTTTGAAAAAAAGTAAGGCTGGCCCTCTTTTTCTAGGACAAACATAAAAATACCGCCAAGAAGACTGAGGGGGAGGAGAGGCTCTATCAGAGCCTTAGTCCACCCTTCTCCTAAGGATAAACTGCCTGGGTACAAGACTTAAAACCTGAGTTTTAAGTCACTAGGTGTACTAGTCTGATAAGGCTGTCATAGCAGAGTAACACTACCTAGATGGCTTAAACCACAGAAGTGTATCTTCTCACAGTTCTGGAGGCTAGGAATCTGAGACCAATATGGCCAATCTGAGACCAAGCAGTGTTGATCTGTAGAGGGCCGTCTTCCCCCCGTGACGCGTTCTCCTCTCTGTACGTGTCTGTGTCCAAATATTCTTCCCTTGAAAGGACACCAGTCACCACATTAAAAGGAAGCACCCTGGAGAAGGAAATGGCAATCCACTCCAGTGTTCTTGCCTGGGAAATCCCACGGACGGAGAAGCCTGGCGGGCTACAGTCCATAGGGTCGTAAAAAGTGGGACCTGACTGAGCAACTAACAAGACCCTAAGGATAGTAACTAATACTGTGTTAGACTCTGTGGGTGTTCAGTACTGTCCTAAGCGCTTTTTTGGGGTCCCCAACCTCTGGAATCTAACTATGATCTGAGGTGTAAAAAAAAAGAAAAAAAGAAAAAAAAAAAAAAAAAAAGGAAGCACCCAAATGACCTCATTTTACCTTTGATTATTTTAAAGACCCTATGTCCAAACACATTCTGAGATACGAGAGGTTAGGCCTTCAACATATGAATGTTGGGAGAACACAATTCAGTTCATACACTGGGTTAAAGAAATTTTAAGAGAGAATTTTGAAAATACCCTATAGACTGTTAGTCTTTATGCCATTATAATTTTTAAATGACAGAAACTAACCGAGAAGTAAACTTAGCAGACACTGTACTTAACAGAATGGGAATTTAATACTGTCCTGGAAAAAAAAGGTCATGTTTTTAAGTAGCACCCACTTATCAAGAGAGTGCCTTCTCTGTGTAGCTAAACAGGAGAGAAGACCAGAAAAGCTGACCAGGAGTAAATGGTGAACAGCTTTGGGAGCCAGGCTATGAAAGTGAGGCTTGATCTGATAGGCAGCAGGGAAAGACATTACAATATCTACTAATAAAGTGATAACACCATGACAATTTTCTTTCTTAAAAAAAAAAAAAAGATTGCTAGAGTTAAAGCATCGAGGATGCACTAAGACAGGAAAGGAAAAAGAAGTTACTGGAGTATGCTAACTAATGGCAGAGGGGCTGGCAACTTGATCAAATTCTAATGCTATTCTTGAAGCAGAATTACTGAGTCATTTTGTGAGAGGAAGACACGAAACTGATGATGACTTCAAGATTTTTAATATGAGCAACTAACTGAATAAAATTTTCTTGAGGAAAGAAAGGGCAATCCTGAGCGTCTGGACAACATCTAAGTGGAAAGATCTAGTAAGCAGCTGGAAAGACCTTTAAAATGAGAGCATGTGAAGCAAAAGAAGAGAAATGCAAAAGGAATTCTTAGAAAAAAAAAGAAGAAAACCAGGAGTTAAGGCAAGTCTAAAATGAAAAGAAAAGAGATAATTTCCTTAAGAGATGCTTGTCCTTTGGAAAAAATGGTGCAGGAGAGCTCAAGGAAGATATGGGCTAAAAAGCAACCACTGGGGTTAATCACCAGGCACTGGTGCGCTGCACTGCACTACTTATCTGTTTCAACCTACTAGCCTGCAAAGCTTCTCTCAGGCAAGCATCAGTTCATGGTGCCCAGTTCACCATCTATGTTACAGCAGGGGCTCACATGACGCTGATGAACTAGTGAATTACAGAGATAGCAGATTCTACTCTAGGGATGTGAGAAGAGGGTACCGTATGAGCAACTGAATCAAGTTTGGCAGCAAGGGAAGGAGAAAGAGATGGGAAGCAGATCACAGGAAAGAAACAGCAAAGGACACTTGTTTATTCGTCAACAGTAGCTTAAAGTGTGTTACATGATGCAGGAGAAAGAACATGGACCCCGAGAGGGTGTGGGTCCCTAAGCTATGGATTTGGGGACAATCCTTCTAGGCCTTGGGTTTCTCTCACCTCTTAATCAGACATCGGGAACGCCGTTAATGCCATGAAGACTTAAATATGCCATGTTTGTGTTTAACTTTGGCACACAGAACATATTAATTTTTTAAAAAATTCTTTCCTTCCAACTTTAGCACAGAGCCTTCAACATGTTTGTGGACTGAGAAGGAACCAGTGGGGGAACATAATCAGAAACACTAAGAGAAAGCAAGTAACGGATTTCATTTGAGGAAATCCTTCAAGTACTAGGGGCTTCCTGGTGACTCAGCTGGTAAAGAATCCACCCAAAATGCAGGAGACCTGGGTTCAACCCCTGGATTGGGAAGATCCCCTAGAGAAGGGGACGGTTACCTACTCCAGTATTCTGGCCTGGAGAATTCCATGGACTGTATGTATAGTCCATGGGGTCGCAAAGAGTCGGACACGACTGAGCAACTTTCACTTCACTTCAAGCACTAGGGCAAAAACCAGAGAGGGAAGATGACCACGTGCAGAAAGAAGCACAGGAGTCTTTACCAGGGGCCCTAAGTGCCCGCGGGGCCGCGCGTGCACGGACCTGAGGAAACCCTGAGAAGCGCAGGGTAAGAGGAGTGGCAAGCGCAGTGCTGAAGCAGCGGCAGCCCGCAGCTCTGGGGGACCACTGCCATGTGACAGCAAGTCACAAATCTAGACTTCTGTGGGGTCTTTTTTTCTTCTGGTCTTTAAAACAACATAGAGAGCAAACAATACATTATCAGCCTGAAGCCAGGAATTTGAAACCTAACCTAACCTTATTAATGCAAACAAGATGTCAATACTTTAGACACAAAAAAGCAAAGTACTACTGTGATCCACAATCTTTGCGGGTCAAGTGAAATCCCCAGACATCTACTTCAGGGATGAAATATGGTCCTTTCAAACAGTACAGAGAATAACGGGGAAAGGAGAGTGTGGGGAAGAGAGGGGAAAGTAAAGGATTCCATTCTGACATACTAATCCCAAGTATTAATGAAAACCTTGGGCTCTAGACTTGAGATTACAAATGAGGCTCTTCTGCTAACCGAATGATGTTAGAAAAGTTACTAAATGCATCGAACCTTAGTTTCCTCACTTGTAGACAGAAAATAGTAACAGGATTTCCCTCTTGATGTTGCGGACAGGAATAGTTGGGATGAAG